CCTCCGTGCTATTAATGCTGGGGCTTAGCAAAAAGCAAGTTTGACATTTCATAACTTTCTGTTTTGACCTCTCCTTGACCCCCTTGTAAAACATTACTCAGTGGAAAGCAGAGCCATGAGGCTCTGCCAGCATCCTGAGTGGTTCCCAGCTGCACCAGCACCGACGTCCCTTGGCTCCACGCGGTGTCACCCCACCACCAAGCGCAAGGATGCGTGGGGCTGGTGGCTCTGCCTGCAGCAGAGCATCTCACACAGCTGTGGAGAGGCTGGGTGGAAATTAAAGGTCTCCCTAAAACAGCCATAGGGGTGTCAAGGGATGCAGATTGACCTGTGTGCCCTATTCGGAGCATGCACAGGTGCTGTGTTGGTGGGGTGTTGCCTGCATCCCTCCCGCTGCTTGGCACCCCAGGAGCTGCCAGGGAGAGTTAGGTTCCCTTTAATTAAAACCTCGAGCATGAAAATATTAGTGGTAAATCCCTGAATGCTGGAGGTCTTGTGGCTAAACACTGAGGAATGTGTTATATCAACCCAGTCACGCTCAGCGGTGAGGAGAGCACAGGGGGATAAGGGTGATTCTGCACTCGCCGTGGAGGGAACGATTGATCTGTCCCCAGGCTTGCATTTCATGATTGCATCTGCTTGGGGTCCAGAGCCAAGAATTTTGCTGAATTCAAACCTTCTCCCAAGTTCTTCACTCTGAGGGTGGTGAGGCACTGGAACAGGTTGTCCAGAGAAGTTGTGGATGCTCCATCCCTGGAAGTGTTCAAGGCCAAGCTGTGGCAGGGGGGGTGGAACCAGATGATCTTTAAGGTCCCTTCCAACCCAACCCATTCTATGATTCTATAATAGTTTATATTAATATGGATTGTTCCCTTAGAAAAAGTTAAAAATATTATTAGGAACATAAATGTGTGGGCCTATTTTTGGAGGACTGGGATATCTCTCTCCTAAGACAGATTACACTGAGGAAAGTAATGGTATCGCATCCTGGGCCACAGGGACCAGCCCTTCTCTTTTGTGGACAATTGCTGCTTATAATCTCATTTATAAATTCAGAAGCTCCTTTTTAACCGTTGTTATGGATTGGATTTCACTGCTGATATGTTTTATGAGCAAATGGCAAATGACAATGGAATAGTTTTGAGAAATGCAGGTATGCCATGGAAGTGAGAATCACAGATGCTTTAAAGAAGTGCAGAGTTACCTCTTTAGGTGCTAACTTACCCGATGCTGTTTTGATGCAGCAGAGCTAGGAATGGATTTTTTTCCTGAATGTGGAAGCAATTTCTAAAGCCTTTAATTGACTTTCAAAGACTCAGTGAAGCAAAAACACTGTTGGGGTTATAGAGTTGTAGCACCTACCTTTGGCTGCAATAAAATGCCTTGCGTAAAAGGCTTTGAACAAAATTCTTTCCAAATACCAAAGTAGTCCACTGAGAATAAATAGAAATGTTTTCCATTCTCAGGAGAGCGAGATCCTAGGGGTTTTTTTGGTGGGTTTTTTTTTTTTTTTTTTCAGGAAAAGAAAACCACTCAAGTTGTCAACACTAGTAGTCACTTTTTTTGGTGACCTTATATTTTAAATATTGTTTATCTAACCTTGGACTTCAATAAGTGACGGATGTTTGTTCATTTGATTTAAAAATCGTGACTTAAAATATCTATGGGAACTGTCACAGAAAGCTTTGCAAAAATTGGAAAATGGGCCCTTTTGGGGAAAGAGCAAGAGTTGCAGATTCTGCCTCGCTCCCGGCTCCTTTTTCCCCCTTGCCCCTCTTCTTTCAGCAGCTCTGGAGTGGAGCGCTGGGAATACAATAGCAGCCACTTATTTACATGGAGGACTGCGATAGGGAAATGAGTCATTTGAAAAGGTATTTTGCAATTTTAATCAATTTTGTTGCTGCTTGCCAAGAAATTAAAAAACCTGCCCTCCAGGAAGCGTCTGCTGTCTGTGGATGAGTAAGTGGAGGCCGGCTCGGGGGGGGGGCTGTGCTCCCGAAATGGATGGGGAGCACTCCCATAGACAGCTACCATGAGATGAGCCCAAGTCTCCCCAAATTGCTAGGAAGTCCTTTTTGACCTTGTGAGCCCAGGATTTCTCCTGTCATTCCCTCCCTCTGCCCTCAGGCTGTCGAGCTTTGTTTGGGAACATCTTTTCAGAGCAGCGACACAAGGGCAAAGGCTAATCGATGTCAGACATCCTTAGAAATAATTTTTTCCTCCCCAATATCTCCTGCTGCAACTGGTTTCCTGCTTTAGTTTTGAATTTGCCACCAGTTTGTGTGAACATTTACGCAGAAGGTGTCATGCCAGGGTTTGCTGCAGAGGAAATTCTAAAATGTTACACCAAATTTAGCGTTTCTGCAGAAGGAAACTGTCATCTTCCAGCCGAGGTCATGGCTGGAATTGTAGCTGCTTCTTCATCCCTCTGCTCCCAGGGGTTTCCATCTGCCCTCCCCACCCTCCGCACTGATGCTACGGATGTGCCCAAGTTCAATCTCAGATGTGTTTATTTAGATTTGATCCAATTTTTTATTTTTGGCAAAACACAGAAACCAGCTGCTGAAACAAACTTAATTCCTGTTTATTAGAAAAACTCAGCTAATCCAAACCCTCATCCCTCTGTAGCAAAATAGAAGAAAATAGCCCTGTTCCCTTGGCCATCCCCTTGTTCAGCTGCAGACAGGGTTTTCCTATTGGAGAGACTTTAATTGTCTCCTGCGATGGCAGACTGCCCGCCACTGCACCCTGCGCCTTTGTGCACGCGGGATCGTACGTCGTACAAGTGATGCAGTAAAAGCAGGTATCATTATGGCCCGTAAAATGGGTCTGGGCTGTACCAAAACAAAACTCTCCAGGTCATCACACTGTGCCAGTGTACCTGAGAGTAAAGGTCTTCTGGTCGTTTTAAGTTTACTCAGTTTTATAGGAAGAAAGAAATAGTAGTAATAAAACATCTTCCAGACATGTTGTAAGGAGATCTTTGAAGTTCTAGATTAACTGTGCCAGGAAGATTACTGAGCAAGGCACTGATTTTTTCCCCCCTCTCCATTATTGCTTAGTTGCATATGTCGCAAAGTAGGATTTACAGTAACACAGGCTCCGTTTTGGGAGCGTTAGAGGGAGGGTGGAAATAGGGAGGCAGGGAGCTCCTTCTCGTTTTATTAGAGACTGACATATTTGTTCCCGAACCAAAAGCGGTACCGCTGTTAAAATCTAATTCAAAATTAGAGAAGAAACACCAGCCTGGACGAGCGAGCTTTGTCTCCCCATGTCCTTGGGAAGGGAAGAGCTGTGCACGGCCCCAGAAGGGTGTGAGACGGGACAGCGGCAAAGCCTTACAGAGCCCCTTGCAAGCGCAGGGATTTGCTCTTTCCCAGGCTATTGGGGAAGTGCTCCCGGCGTCCCCACGCAGAGGGTGTGGGCAGGCAGGGACCTCCTGTCTCAGGCAGAGCGGAGGGGAGAGCCCGCTGCCCCCCGTGATGGCGCCACGTGGGTGGCCTTCGGCTCAAGAAGAGGAGGAGGAAAGAAAAATGTGAACAGTGGCAGTGTTTAAATGCAGGCTTTAAAAACAGCTGATTTCCACGCACCTAATGAGTGTGACTTGGTTTTTTTGAGTGTTAGGTCATCTTTTTTGAGAACAGACTGAATACAGCTTTATAGAAGATCAGGGAAGAGTTGGTCTGAGCCTTAAAATACAGAGAAGCCAAGGAGGAATGGATGCTCTGCTTAGGGGAACTGGGAAGAAAGGACCATACTTGCAATGCAGGTAGTATAACTGATTTGCAGGCAAAATGTCTTTACCAAAATGATTTGTAAAATCTGCCCAAATCATACCCCAGTCTTCATGGTTGCACACGGAGGGAAGAAGGTCTCCCTCTCCCAGGAGGACGGAGGCAGAGCGGGAGGCGACAGGGCGCTGACACTCACCTGCCATCTCCATGTGAATTTCCCCAAAACTGGGGCCGGGAGGGCACGTGGCTGAGTTCCTCCAAGACCTGGCTGTTACTTAAGCCAGGGGAGCCAAGGTTGAGCAAGATGCACGTCTGGTAGCGAAACTGCAACTTTCCAGCAAGAGCAAACACTGCTAACATTTCACCAAACGGACTTCAACCTAAAAACTAGAATATACAGCGAATCGGTGAACATCGCAAGCGGACAACTGCGCAAGTCTGCCATGATGTAGAGGTATGGGGACAGGAGAGCAGCCTGCAACTTTGTAAGGAGGAGAAAGGAGCTGGGATGCTGGTGGAAACATAGGGTGGGAAAAAAATAATTTCCATTTAAATAACTGAGGATGGTTTAATTAACGAATTAACGCCCGCGGGGTGGCTGGGTGCTGCTGCTGCCTCCCGCTGCGCCTCGGCTGGGGGCGGGGGGGGCGAGGAAAAAGACGGGGGAAAAAGGGAAAAGCAGAAAGGCGTGTACAACCCGGAGGAGG